GGAGCAGGCTGGGGTTTGGGTCACAGTGGTGACTCGGGCCAGGGCCTAGCCGTCTGCCTGAACACCTTGGGAAATGCAAGAGGCTCTCACATGAAGTCTACGGAAGCCATTGGAAATCTCTTACTGACTCCTCTGGGACTCCAGATAGGTCCTGTGTATGCTGACTCGTGTCAAGTGATATAAGAAGCGTGGTTACCTCCTCCAGCTGCTTGGGCCCCAGACCGCTCCCGCCCGGGGAGCTGGGCCCTCTGCCTGTGCTGAGGCACGCAGCTGCTGCCTTCACATTTGCAGGCTCAACCTGCAATACAGCTGAGCATGTGTTACAGACGTGGCTGGTCACACAGGCTGCAACAGATGAGGCATTGCCTTCAACAGCACCTACGTACAGGACTTGCACAAAACACAAACAGACAAGTCCCTTTCCTCCCCTTCAGCTGGTAGCAATAAAAGTTCACCGGTGCAGGCACGCACACGTTTGTGGATTCTTTTAGCACCAGCACAGCCCCTCTGTCTGCCCAGCACCCCTGCACAGATACCAGGGCCCTTTACCTGGTTCATCGACCTCTTACTTGCCTGCTAGTCCAGCTTGATGATCACTAGCAAACATGCACTCACGCAGTTGTCCCCGATCCACTCCACGTTCACAAGTCCCCTTGGGTGTACCAGCACAAGCCCCGCTGCCCACTTGATACTTTGGGCTGGACCTGAGGTTCCCCTACTCACCAGCTAGTCCAGCTTAAAGTTTGGTAGTCAATATGGATATGTACCGCAGGTATACCTGGATTGGGGCACATACAGACACCCTTCCTCCTCAGCAGCCAGCACCAGGCACATGGGCTGTGACCTACAGTCCTGCTCCAACCACTGGCATAGAACCCCTAGCTCATGCCAGCTCCCCTAGTAGCTGATTTTTTAGGACATATACCCTTCCTGCTCCAGTGGCTGGAAGTTAAAGACCCCCACTTGCTCCAGCAGCTGACATCACAGGCCAGGGGCACCCATACACCCCGCCTGACCCCAGGAGCTGGCACCAGTTTTCACTCACACACAGAGGCATCACCAGTAGCTAGCACTGAGCCCTTGCAGCACACACACGCAGGACAGAATGAGGTTACACAAAGAGACAGTTAAGAAAAGATTTAATAAGATATAAGAAGGTAGGATAGACTGTGATGATCAGGCACAGGGCTCAGCCAGGCAAGTGTACTGACTGGCCCTGTTTTACATGACTGGCCTCTTTTATACTCCTTTCTGTCTATTCCCATCTTTGTTCCTCCCTGCTCCCCTTCCCCTGCACATCCCTCACGGGTTTGTACAGCTCTGTTGATTCTCACACTCCTCCGAGTCTGGGATCCCCCTGGTTTCCAGTCTTACCAGGTGCAAGGTCCAGGTTGATCTTCCTGAAAGCGGTGCCTGTAGTTTCTTGGTAGCCCATCAATTAGTGTGAGTGGTGAGGTTTGTTTCTTGTCATGGTGTCTACGTTTGTTTTATCAGGTCTGTGTCTATGTATATTTTGTTTCTGGTTTCCCCTTTTTCCTTTAGTTTCCCAATTGACAAGGTCCCTGATCAGATAACCTTGCTGGAATAAACATTCTCACACTCTCGCATGCCCCCATCAATTAGTGTGACTGACCAGGTTTGGTTCTCATCACTGCCTCCCTCATAATTTACTGGTCAGATTTGTGTCCCCATATGTTTTTGTTTTATGGCTTCCTCCCTCTCTTATTATCCCTTGTTGCATAGAAACAGGTCCTTGACCAGATGCCCTTAAAGGAGCAGACACTCTCCTCCCACACACCCATACAGCTTGTATAAGCGTTAAGGAAACTACCATATGCAAGCCCAGGCTAGGATTCTGTAGAAATTGTGCTATGAGTGACATTAAAAAACTCTTTTCCCAAAGCCAAAACAGAGGTATATGCATCTCACTATTTCCCCTAAATTAAGAGTAGGCAAACATTGTTGTCTTAGCAAAGTCCACTTCACTGTTCAACAATTCCCTTTAAATGAAAAGTGTTAGTATTATGCTGAATATTTTCTTACCATTCTCTTGCATTCTTTCATTTGCCTGTTTCTGTCTGCTGTCTTTTGTCTCTTCCCTGAATTGCAGGCTGTCTGGAGTACAGCTCATTTCGTGCTCTTGCACAATAAAACCAGCTCTGTGCCTGGAACTCAGACTCACTACAATAGACAAAGAGTACAATTTTTAAAAGGCTTAAATAGCAGCCTAAAAATATCAGGATAGTGCTTTTATTATTTGAAGTCACCAAGCTGGCACTTTAAATATGTGACCTTTATATATATTTTTTTGAGCAGGAACACTTGTGGACAGGCCATCTGAATTGATGGTGACTCAGGAAGTGCCACACGTATATAGATGTCTTGAAGAAGCACATTCATGAGATGAATTCAGTACATCCTATAAAGAAGTACTTAACATTTGTAATGTGAGTTATCATAAAACACTTAAATTCATTATAGTTTAGCATTTATTAAGATCTAATGTTCTTGCTAGTAATACTGATTGTCTAAAGTCCCAGATTGACAACAGTTCTCATCAAACATCGATGAGCATACACAGGGCATGAAAAATTCTGTAATGGCCACAAAAGAGTCCTTTGCAGAAAGGGAGAAAAATAAATGATAATGAGATAGATATCTCAAAGACTACCTAAAGATTTAAAATAAGGATATATGCTTATGATGTTAATTTGTATGTGACACCTCATAACTGGGTGGGAAAATTACCTTTTTTTTTTTTTTGTAAATGATTGCCTGCAATTACAGAATGCTGCAGAGCCTGGTAAAAGAATGTTTGGAGTGCTGAACTGCAAGAAATAGTTTAGTGTTGCCAGAAAAGAGCCCTTGTGCATATTTGGTTTTGATCTTTAATGAAGTGTATGCAGTAAGAGATGAAAGGGCCTTTCTTTGTGTGCTAGTGGCTCTCATGCGGTCAGACAACAGAGATGCAGACTTTTGCTATTTCTACATTATGATAAAAATAATTTATATAATTTTTTCAAAGATTTGTATGCTGTGATACAATATTTTTTTTTCTCCTTTCCTGCTTTTCTAACAGACTAAGGTCATTCGTGCATTTGATAAGATATCAACATTCAACTTAAGCTCTCGTTTGATATAGGAACTTGCTACATAAGGAAATTGTACTCTCTGCACAGGATTTGGAGGCAGCATGCTACTCACAGGGAGTGAGGCTGTGTTCATCCTCTCACTACAAAATCCAGAAGATTTTTCTCCTTCTTTGAAGATACCTTCCTCATTATAAAGCTAAAGCTTTGTGACATTAGAAAACCAGGAAAGGACTCATTTCTGATCCTATCTGCTGGGCATGATAGTGTTCTCTGTGTTTTGCTTGCAGAAGCAACGTAAAGTTCTGTTTTAGTAGCAGAGTAAGATACACTCAAGAAAGCAAATGCAGTGAAATTCAGATATAAGGTAGAAGTCAAATGATTCATTTTTTTTGAAATATAGTTCAAATCCGTCCCTGGTGACTTTCCAGTGACTTTGCAATTTTTTTTTAATTGCTTATTTTAATCTTTTTTATTTTTTTGTACAGTGTGAGTTTTATCTTGTCCCAATTCTGCTCTGTTCAGGTTTAGCAGTTGATTAACTTGTTTACTATTTCTCAGTAGATTGAACAAATGGGTTCTGTGTGAGGAGCAGGAAGTCAGTGGCAGTCAGTGCAGATTTTGATTGGGCAACGGTAGAATAGGATGAATTTTGGTAGGCTGTGTGCCTTGCCTCCCTTTCCAACTTATTTCTTAAGACCTCTTCTTTGTCATCTCCACTGTGGCCATGTGACTGGCAGTGCATTTCTCCTTTCCCCTCCTCTCCCACCCTGAGTATTTGCTGTTCTCCAGTAACAGCCCAGCTCTTCATTTTGTCGTTCCCCATTTGGTGCTCCTTCAGTAGGAAGAAAGAAAAACCTGAACAACTGCCTGCCCCAAGGGGATAGCAACTGTGAAGATGTGAAATTTTAAAAATTACTGTATCTTATATAATTTTTTCATGCATCAGTATGCACAAATAAATTTTAGGTAAGTTAAGTCAAGGTGTATATAGAAGTATAGATGAGTTGGGTTTGTTTGAGATCAAGTAGTGCATTTAATTTGATTCCAACTGCTAATGTTTTTCTTTTTTAACCTCAGACTTTGAAGGGAAGATAATATTGTACTGTCTGTAATTCCTTTATTTTAAAATTTTGTTCTACCCATTTTTATATGTCCCTAACAAAATCGCTTGCTTCTGTCTTCTTTATTTAATTTTTAAAAATCTGATTTCAGGAAAAAGTCTGAAGTTTCTGGAGCCATGGCTAAAGCTGACATCAAACCGAAATCTATACATTATGCCAGAAAATGGTCGGATGATGTAGAGAACTTATACAGATTTCAGCAAGCTGGATACAGAGATGAGGTTGAATATAAACAAGTAAAACAAGTTGATATGGTAAGATTTAGAACTCTGCAAGGGTCATTACTTTAAACATCTGTCTCATGTTAAACAGTTCAATAAAAATGGAGGTGGTGCTTATTTCCTTTCATTTAGGCCAGTTTCTGATACAGTTTTTTTTTCCCAGGTCTGACTTGAATTCTTGAGCTATTATTAACGGTGCAGAATAACTTCTTTCACAGAAGTGAAACAGAAACACTACCCAGCCTGTGGTTTTGTTCTCCCTCTCTTATGCATTTGGGAGCGTTACAGATTTCTTTGAATAGATGTAGCTGCTGTCTAAAAGAATAATTCAGTTTTGAGGAAAGGAATATTTCAAAGTGAGTTCTCTGAAGTTTCCCTGTTACTCTGCCAATAGACCTGATAGGAAACTCATTCATTGTCCGGGGAGTCAGTTCCTGTCTCATTGCTCGCGACTTCAGTTTTACAGCTGAATTGCGTGGTAGCATAATCAGACTTCGTGCACACTCAAAACTTGGCTTCCATTGAAACTGTCCACGATAGAAATATTTGATGCCAACTGTGGTAAAGGGAGTTGTGACACAGGCTTTTATCAACTGAGAACATCAAGGACTTGCTCCTCTGCTCACTGCAGTTGGTGGCAATGCTCCCTAGCACATCAAATGAGCTAATGAATAATGGCCAGATATTCAGTGGCTGCTTCAGATTCAAAACATCAACCAAGAGGTTAATACAGCAAACATCGTATTATCTTTATTAGAGCTCTGTAATTTAGCTACCAAAGCAGCATATGTAGTATGAAAAATCTACTTTTAAAAGATCTTAACCTCCTGTGCACATAAGGAAGAGCAGAATGTTCCTAAGCAAGTCACTCCTCATCCAGTTAACTCAAAACATAGCGAAACGTTGATGTGCATAACAAGATGCAGTTTATTATTTTGTTGTGGGCTCAGATACCAAACCACTGTAAAGGCTGTGGTGTAAATTCTTTTAACTGTGCGAAAGGAAATCCTGTAATTAGTGTGGTAAGATCAGTCTGATTAAGATTTATGGCAGGCCATAACCATAGACAATTAAACCCTGATAAAACTTGAAGAACACCACTTACTCAATGTAAAAATGAGCATGCATTCTGTTCAAACTTGCCAGGATCTGGCAGCGATTCTCTTTCAGCTTACACGTTTTGAAATGTCTTGTTTACTCCATATTATGTTTCCATAATGCGGTTGTTATTAATGATGCAATTATAATGCAGGTAGAATGAATATTAAGACTGTTATGTTTAGACAGAGAATGCCAATAACTGATCACATAATTCTTTATACTAGACCAGAAAACTGGTTTCTCACATCTTGTTCTTAATCTTTTTTAAAAAGTTAACCAAATTAATAGCAAAGTAGTGTTTAGATGCAAATGAGGTTTTCCTGTGAAAGTATACCTATTCTTTGCAATATAATGCACAAACATCAGTAATGTGAGCATGTTCAGGTGAATGTATATCCTTTTTATTTTATTTGTAGGTAGAGTGTTGGCCAGAAACTGGATTTGTTAAGAAACTTCAGCGAAAGGACAATACGTTCTATTATTATGATAAGCAAAGGGAATGTGAAGACAAAGAAGTCCATAAAGTGAAAGTTTATGTTTATTAGTTTTGTTATTGTTCTAATTTGTTTGTATTTTTTCATAAATATGTTTGTTAGAATCTGTAAGTAAATGAGATTGTGCAATCTGATTTACCTTAAGTATCGATGTCATTCTTGGGTAGAAGGGGGAATACTGGAAATGTAGAGAAGCCTGGAACTGTAGACGTAGGAATTTCATGTTTTTCCTGCTATAACCAAAAGTCTTATTACCCCTAATTTTCCTAGTTTCAAATGTTTTGACATAAAGATAAAAAGCTGGTAAATGGGCATCATATATCGGGTTTAACTGTGTGTAAAGTCCATTGTAAGTACAGGCGTCAGTCTTTATTCCAAACAGTATAATCTTGTTGACACTGGCTAATGTCAGCCACATTCTCTTGGTATAGCTGAGGGTTGTGAGACTACAAAGGGCCAAAGTAAGGCCAAAATGCTAACTAAAGTTCCCTTGGAGAATAGCAAGCAAAGAATTTAGTGGAGGACACGAACAATCAAGTAGCAAGGACCACTGCTGAGCTGCAGATTTAAGAAGTGGTTATTGTGATAGAGACAGTCACAACAAAAATGTCTTTCTGAGCAATAGGTAAGGTATCCCCAAAGTATTTTTGTCAGGTGCAAGTATTAATTACGTGAGGCGGAAGTATTAATTGACTTGGTAGCATATGCCTTTTTATAGAGGGGGGGAAAGAAAAGATTGTAGCTTTACATTATGGTGGGATCAGGGAGTATAAAACTGCAGGGAGAACATGAAATCCATACTATGTAAATATTTAAAGTTAGGTAACTTACACAGGTGATATGTGGGATTTCTGGGCAGAATTCATCTCATCTAACTTCAGATGTCACATTGTCATTATCTCCACCTGATCTTGTCATTTGGGGACACCTTTTGTTCTGAATAGAGGGAAGTTGGCTCTTCTGAGCACAATTCATTTCTTCTAAATGTAGATATGTAACATTTGCTTTGAACATGTTGCTGTGAGATCAGCTCTGCAGAAGCTGTCCACACGTGTGCTACTCTGAGACACCTGGTAAACGCGAGATACCATACTTACCTTCACTCATTAGAGAATTTAAGTAAAATACTTTAAGATGCCAAAACTCTAGGTAATTGACCAGTAGAACAGATTATTGTTATGTAAACCAGTGGGTTTGTTTATCATAGTTACAGAAAAAAATGTTATTAATATCTCTTCTCTCTAGACTGTAAACCATGAGGTGTCTAAACTACGGTTTAGGCATGGATTAGCAGTGTACATTTGACCAGCTGTCTTATGGATATTCTTCCTTAATTTGAACCAAAAATGGTGGCCAACTCAAGATGTGAAATAGAGGATTTACAGCTCCAAGTCAAATGGTAGTATGGGTGCATTATTCAAAAGATCTCGTTGACAATAGGTGATGATGGTCTAGTCACCTTATTTAGGCTGCTTGGAAATTTTTAGCTTAAATTTGTATGAGCTCTGTTGGAGAAATGACTGAAAGGTACTCGGAAACAACTGTGAAGTTTTTTTATTCCAGGAAGGTTTTAATAGTATATAAATAGACAGTTACTGCAATGACAGAAATAAAGCATTGCTACAGTAAATTTCACTTCAGATTTTCATTATGATTCCTTTTTTTATTTTGATTGCTCTGGATGTATATTTTAAGAGAGGACCTTTTGCACACTTTGAAATCAAATAGTGGGAAGAGAACAATTATCAGGATAACCCATCTATTTTGTCACTTTAAGGCAGTGGATCTCACTCTGTTAACTTCATAGATTTCTAAAAAAGAAATCTTCAGTAGACATGAAAACAGCCTTAAAAAAATTCACAAAAATAGATGTGTTGTATAGCCAACTTAAATTTAGTGACAGAGATTACTGCTATCAGCACACACAGAATAAGTGAGAATGTTTGGTACAGCCATTTTCTCAGTCTATAAAAAAGACATAGTTGGGCATTCAAGAACAGGAATTAAAACTACAGGTAACTTTTTAGAGCTTAACTTTTTTTAAAGAAAGACTTTTAAAAAAATGAAACAAATGTAAAAGATCGTTTTGTGCTTCCTTCATTTTACCTGACCACACCTCAATGTTTTTGCAATACTGTTGGATGCTTTCTCTCTTGTTATGTTTTAAAACAATGAGTGTGCATTTCATGCAGCCCATGGAGATTTCATTTCAAACAAGTAGCATGGGAATTCATGTTCCACTTCTGAAATGCTGATTTTTGTATGCATTGGCAGATTCTTCTCACTTTGAAAGACTGAATTACCTAGATTTTATTACTTACGTTTTTCAGCATTGTCAGTGTGCTAAAAGGTTGAATCTCACTGTAACATCTAAAAGATTAATGGGATAAAAAGGGAAGATAAGCCTCATAATTAGCGCTGGAGACCAGTTTACAGACAGTCTTTGTCAGGACTAATGCTGTATTTGGGAGTTCGCTTACTTTATTAACAAAACAGCAGCTTAACACCTAATTCCCACCCCCCTGCCATGGGCAGAGACACCTTCTACCAGACCAGGTTGCTCAAAGCCCCATCCAACCTGGCCTTGAACACTTCCAGTGATGGGGCATCCACAGCTTCTCTGGGCAACCTGTGTCACTGCCTCACCACTGTCATTGTAAATAATTTCTTCTCTATATCCAATCTAAATCTACCCTCTTTCAGTTTAAAGCCATTGCCCCTTGTTCTGTCACTGCAGACCCAGGTAAAAAGTCTTTCTCCGTCATTCTTATAAGCCCCCTTTAGGTACTGGAAGGCTGCTCTAAGGTCTCCCCGGAGCCTTCTCTTCTCCAGGCTGAACAACCCCAACTCTCTCAGCCTGTTTTCATAGGAGAGGTGCTCCAGCCCTCCCTCAAATCATCTTCATGGCCTCCTCTGGACTCGCTCCGACAGGTCCATGTCCTTCTTGTGCTGAGGACCCCAGAGCTGAAGGCAGTACTGCAGGGGGGTCTCACCAGTGCGGAGCAGAGGGGCAGAGTCCCCTCCGTCGACCTGCTGGCCACGCTGTTTGTGATGCAGCCCAGGATACGGTTGGCTTTCTGGGCTGCAAGTGCATAATTGCCAGATTATGACCAATTATTCATCCACCAGCATCTCCAATTCCTTCTCAGCAGGGCTGCTCTCAATCTAGTCATCCCCCAGTCTATGTTGATACTGGGGGTTGCCCTGACCTAGGTGCAGGACCTTGCACTTGGCCTTGTTGGACCTCACGAGGTTCACATAGACCCACTCCTCCAGGCTGTCAAAGTTCTTCCTGAAGAGGCTTTGGTATTCAGCTGTTCTTGTTGAGCATGAAGCTGATACCTGAGTACTAACAAGTTTTTCTGTGCTACCATTATGCTGGATGTTTCTCAGTCAAAAAAAGCTGTCAAAATAATTTAATGTCTCAGTATTTATTTGATTTTGATAAATCTGTAACTGAAATGGCCTGTCTGTCACCTCAGTTTTAAGCATGTTGAGAACTGTTAGCTTACATGTGTCTTAGTTTAACGTCACCAAGTTGTGAAAAAGGACCAGAAGTAAGCAATCTGGGGAACCTGTTCTTCATTTTATGGGTGACACAACAGTTCATATCAAGATAAATAGCTTATTTCTGAACACCACTAGAAAAACTTTTTTTACTGAACTTTAGTGACTTTAAACAGATGGAGAGATGTGGTTTTATCTCTATTTTATTGCCTAGAGATGAAAATACGTGCTATTTTGCTGATTTGAGTCTTAATAAAAAGTAATTCTGTGAAAATACTTTCCAAGGTACTTTTCTTATCTGTTGTTATTCCTCTTATCAGGGAATACTGTAATGCTTTCACTGACCATTTGCAGCAGCTCAAGAAATGGATGGTGGCAAGGCTCCGTTAGCAAGTGCTTACCAGCAGCCCAAGTCTGATGTACTTAGTCTAATTTTAATTCACTTCATGGCTTTGTACAAGACAATAAATGCTTTCTGTGCCTGTTGAAGCTCATAAGAGGAGGTAAAACAAACTTTTCCAAGACCTACTTTTCAGGCTTTGTGTTTGACAGCTACAAGTGAAATGGCAAGGATGCAACCTCTCTGAATTCATCCAGTTACACTGGGGAAATAAAGGCTGCATTTGTGTGTTCTAGGCTGGTTTTCTATGTTTTCAGCCTTTACTTGAATTCATTATGGAACAGTATTGTCGGAAAGTGGTACTATGGTTATATGATTGCTTTGCAGTCACAGTAGCTTAAAGCACCACACAGAAAGATGCTGTAAGTGTTTTCATTTTCACTTTGGTACCCAAGTGGACAGTTGTCTTTCCAGCTTTGAAGACAGTTGAACCTCAAACTTTTAGTTTTCAAACATGGTTCTCTTGTTTCAAGGTGTTGAAAGTGATTGACTGGCTTCAAACTCGTTAAAGACAACTTTCTAACTGGACAGCTGTGATGTCTCTGTTCCTCACATTGTCTGACACAAGCGAAGGCTGTCTGAAATCAGCTTGAATGGAGTTGCCTTATGGTCTTTGCAGGTTCTCTCCTATTACCCCAGTTCCACTGGATTTATATTTATTTGTAGGAGCTGCTGTCTTAGTAGCCTGCCTGTGCTAAGCACTTCTTGGCAAGTCATAATTACGTAATAAACCACAATTTTCTTTCTTGTTGCAGTTGAGACTTTGCATTTACCTCAAGTCTGAAGCCTAGCACACTCCCAAACAGCATTTGGGAGGGTGACTGGTGAATGTCTGCTGTCAGGAGAGTTCCAGGTTGGCACCAAAAAAAACCCCTGCAATGTAATTTTGAACAAATACCACCATTTTTATGGATACCCTGTTCAGCCAGTCTATTAACATGCCTCAGTGTTGGGACAGAATATCTTTGCTGGATGGTGCTTTTGTAGCTCTTTTTTGCCTCAGTACTCTTCCATATTCTCTGCCTTCACAGGCACCCCAGGCTTATGGATGTCTTGAAAATCCTGTCCCACGCCCTGTACCCCGGCTCCCTTACCTGGCCCTGGCTCAGACCTTGAGTCTTTTCTTATACTCACCAGCTAGTGC